GATTCTTTTTTTTTTTGAATTTTTAGAAAAAATATCTAAGTTTTTCTATAATGTGGGACTTCTTTTTTCTCTTTCTTCAGAAAATTATTAGAAGCTTATCCAGAATTCTTGGTACCTCGTGTGTATGAAGAATTGTGCACTAACAATGTTCTTGCTTCTGAACTAGTCTATGGCACCCCAATAGACCAATTGGTGAACAGAGACCAAGATTTGAGAAATTGGGTATGTACATTTATGATCAAGTTGTAGTAATTATTTCTTCCTTTCTTCATAAACATTATCTTTTCCCATTCTTTGGATGATTCTGTTATACTTTAACATAATAAATCAGTTATTAAATATAATATCAGAAGTCCTTTGTGCTTAATAAAATCACCACCTCATGTTGATATGTTGTTATTTATGCCACCTGATTGATAGTAACATCAGATCAAGGCTTGGGGAACTCATTGCGGCTACATTTATGTCTTTCATTAGCCATAGCTTTAAGCATCATATAGATAGCAGTGCTTTGGGCTCGATTCCACCCAAATTTTGAGGGAGAACACTACAGAGATGGTCAGAGGCCTCCCACCTCTCGTCACCTTCCACCAACTTCACAAGAGGACTTGTAGTTTGACACCTATGTAGAGTACTCCCATGCCGGGAAGACACTTATACATTTACAAACATCCATGTCCTAACCCAGGCCCAACGGTCAGCATTACTAACCATTGCACTGGATGGGCAACCTGTTAATATGTTCATTTGCATTGTAAATTGATATTTACTTTTGGCACATTTTTATTAATATACATTAATTTTATCTTAATTATAACTGTTGCTTTTTTTATATGTTGTTGCATAATAAAAAATATTTTTTTTATATTTCAAATTTGGTATGTTAAATATGATTATAAGAAAAATAAATTAAATAATTAACCCATTCAGGACCAGCAAAAGGAATGTGAAAATAAATTATTCTTTTTTTGAAGTATAGATGTAATAAAAAAAGTCATAGTTAAACCATGGATATATCAAAATTTGTTTTCCACATGCAATTAATTTTCCTTCTTGCACACCTAAGTTCTAACGTGGGAAATGGCAAGAGGAGTTTCCCGCTGATTTTGACAAGTGGGGATTTGTTTATGATCATGGTCCTGAATGGGTTGTTATCTTTACTGTAATCTAAAGCATTCAGTTGAAATTTAAAAAATGTCACTATTCATAATCATAATTTACTCATAAACTGATATTTAATATTTCTTTTATAATGTTTATGAGTAGAAATAACAATATTTGTTTATTTGATTTTCATAAAATCAAAGTTATACTTCATTAGTCTGTTTCAACTTTAAAATTTATTGTATCTCCAGTGTACTGATTCCAAATAATTTGTAATAATCTTGTATATGCTTGGAACATGTAATGCTATCTAATATAAAATGAAATATACCTAAAATTTGAATTATATTAAATTATTTCTTTTTTCTTTGTATCCTCTTTGGAGATGGAATATTAATTCTGAAGAAATTTATTTTTAGAATAGAACAGTGACTCTTAAACTGTAGTTCGTGGACCATTGAGGTCCACAGAGGCCTCTCATTTAAGATTAAGATTTTTCTCTTGAAAAGACTATGAAAGATCTCGTGGAAAAATTGAAAGATGTCCATCCTAAACTAAATCACTAAATTGCCCCCAATGAAAAAACTCTTCTAGAACATGTAATTTCTATAAAAAATATTGAATATGTTTTTTTTTAGTCTTTACTGTTTGTAACTACAGCGTAATATTTTCAAAAAAGTGTAGAAACATTTGTGCAAAAATTAAGAACTGTATTCTTAGCGTGCCAGTATGGTAATGATTGTATTTAAATCACTCAGCCATGTGTTGGGAGTCAGAAAGAGATATTCAAAATCGTTAGGGTCTGCAACATCAGGTTGATACATAAGGAGGGCTGGGATCGAAAGCTTAGAAACTGCTGGAATAGAGTAAGCAAATATTAGTTGAAAATCGTGTTTTTTGTACATTTCTGTTAAAAGCAAATAAAATGTCCTTTGTCAATGATTGGGGTTTTATTAACTAATAATGTTTTAAATATTCTTATTTATTTATTTTTGTAGGTTTGTGAAAAGCTGCTGTGTTTATGCCTAATGGAAATATTCTTATTCAGGTTCATGCAAACTGATCCTAATTGGTCTAATTTCTTGTATAATGATGATACAGAACAAGTAAGAAGTTTTTTTCTTAAGAATAATTTTAAAAGTGAATATTTGTACGATGGCATATTAATTTGTTTGAAAGCTTAAAACTGTTACTGCAATTAATTGCACTTTAAATATTTTTGTAAAATTTCTGTTGCATCATACTTTAGATTTTTTTAAAAAATAATTTTATTATTTTATGCATTATAGTTACTCATAATAAATTAATTTTTTGTAGAAAATTGTAATGAATTTTTCATTTAATGTTCTAGATTGTTCTGTTGGATTTTGGAGCTTGTAATGATTATACTCCTGAATTTGTAGATACATACATGAACATAATAAAGGCTTCTGCAGAACGAGATAGAGGGAATGTTTTGAAATATTCTCAAGAATTAGGATTCTTATCTGGCTATGAAACACAAGTATTATTTCTTAAACTATAATACTAAGTTACTTCAACAGTCGTTTTTTTTTTTAATGAAAGCAAATATTCAAATTTTTTTGCTCTGATGTGTAATGTGAGTTTTTTTTTTTTTTTTTTTTTTTTTGTGGTTCTTTGTGAGAAATATCTTTACTTTTGCAATATCTCATTAAAACTTAGAAACTATTTTTCAGTAATAAAAAATTCATTTAATTGGAAATCATTATTTGAATTGCTATGCTGTACATAATTGTGTATATTTAAATGAATTGTCTAAAAAATTTGTAGTAGTTATAAATTTCTTTAAAAGATTTCTTGATGGATAAAATTTTGTTTTTATTCATGATTGTAAGAAATCAATTTCTAATTTTGTATAATTCTCATTATTTTAATATATACTTTTTTATCGCTTGATTGATGAATTTAAAAATATCTCATTTTTACTTGAAATAAATTCTTATATAAATATTTTTTCTAGGTCATGGAAGAGGCACATGTTGATGCTGTAATGATACTTGGTGAGGCTTTTGCATGTAAAAAACCTTTTGATTTTAAGCAACAAAATATGACTCAGCGCATTCATCAATTGGTGCCTATCATGCTGAAACATAGACTTACTCCTCCACCTGAAGAAACATATTCTTTACATCGCAAAATGTCTGGTATATTTTTACTTTGCACAAAATTAGGTGCAATTGTAGATTGTAGTAAGTTATTTGATGAAGTATACAAGAAGTATGAAGCTGGTAAAATAAAAAGTGCTGCCATTTAAATCTCATTGTATGTGTCATATCATAGTTCATTTTTTGTATAGTTTCTTAGTATGAAAATGAAATAAAACTTGTTGAAATTAGTAGTTTATTATGGTTATTTTACTGTAATTTTTTAATTATTAGAGTACAGTTATATGTAATTGCTGATATATTATTATATCAATTCTTAGTCTAAGTAAAGAAAGAAACATTTTTTATGTAATTCATCTAATGTAATAAAGTTAAAAAATGTTACATAGTTCTCAAATTAATTTGAATGCATTGAACTTTTTATTGTATAATAATGAAGCATGTTTATTTAATGATTAAAAGAAAAATCAATTTAATTAGAAATGTATTATTTGTAATCTTCTTGCAAAATTTTTCAACATTCAAATTATTCATTGTAAAGTTGTAATCATAGTGTTTCTAGAGTTTTTTTCCCCTCCACCTCTCGTCTGGACCCAAAATTAATAAGGAGAATTATAAATGAGACTTCAAATTATTCCATGTATTTTCTTCCCCATTTCTTGTAATTAATGGCTCTTAAATTTCTTTCTTTAGTGCAAGAGTAGAAAAAAAATAAGAAATATTACAAATAGCTGAATTTTGTTAAAAGAGTATAAACTATGATTTTTAAAAAAATCAAAGAAAAGTTTTCTTAGCAATTAAAATATTAAAACTATTGGATTGATGCAAAAATGCATATATTTTGTAGATTTCAAAACCATCTTTTAGTATTGTAATGATTTTTACGGAAAGTAAAAATTTTGCTTAAAATTGCAAAATGCAATTTCTTTTCTTGCTGTATAAATTTGGATTCAGATTTTTAGTTTTCATTAATTGTTGAATGAAAAAATAACTATTGTAAAATCCAACGTATAACATGCATTTTTAAGATAAAAAATAAGATCAAAATTTATGCATGCTTGTTATATGTCAGGTATATATAAATGATAGCTTCAAAAATATTTTAAAAAAAGAGATGAGCATAAGAAAAAAAATTAGTCTTCTACATGTATTGAAATATTTATTTAAAAGAAATTATATGCCTTATGAATTTAGTGAGTTGTAGTTCTAGAAGTATACTATTTTTCCAAAAGCCTTTGATAATATTGTGAATACATTACTTCAAAACATAAGAACATTGCATATGTGCATTTCAGGTTTCTTTGTAATAAAAGGGGTTGTGCGTTATACTGTGAATATGTCTAAAAATATTAAAAAATGCAGCTTGAATTTATAGGTGCATGTTATATGCCATCATTAAATCAATTTCTTTTTCAATTCCTACTATTAGTTCAGAATCTCCCTATATATATACATATCTTGTTGAAATTTTCAATTGTTAATGAAATACTTTCTTTTCGTCCATTCAAGTTCAAATGCATTTTTTAAAACTTGTACTGAATAACACTTGATGTCAATACAGTTTTTTCAAATATCAATTCATTAACTACCGGTTAATTAACTAAATCAATTACTGATTTTCGACTCTAACTTAGATTCGTCTCCATTGCTGTAACAATGTAGCTGTTAAAACAATGACAAAAGTTGGCTTCGAAAACCGCTAATGAATAAGTAGTAACAAACAAAAATAATAGTCCAACACCATATATTAAAAGGAAAATCGCTCATTGTGTCCCTGTAACACAATGGATAGCTTGTTGGACTTCTAATTCAAAGGTCATGGGTTCAACTCCTACCTGGGATCGCTTATTTCTGAGAATGGGATTTATGTGAATGAATAAATAGTAACAAACAAAAATAATAGTCCAACACCATATACAGAAAGGAAAAGGGTAAACTGCAAGGAAAATCACTTTATATATTGCCACTTAATATTGTGATTCTGTCATATGTCTATACATATTTATATTAATTGTAATTATTTAATAAAAAAGTAACTAAAATAAAACTTTTCTTTTTTTGTCTAAGTAGGAATTGATTTAAAAAAAATTATATTACTTGTTGTATGCTAATTTATACTTGTGAAATATCAGAAATATAGTTTGTTTTAAACACACCATTGTTTAAGACATTCAAATAACATATACTGCAGTATCAATTGAAAATTTATTACTTAAATGGCCAGAAGGTAATGTCATGAACTTCTGATAAGGTTTGATCAAAATCTATTGAAATCTAAAAATATAGTCAGAAAACTTATGGAACTGCATTCTTTTCAGTGTGTCAGTTAATGAAGAAAACATCAAATACTACTCTAAATCGCAATATCAAGTTTCACAAATAATGAGCCAAATGAATTGAGATACGAATCTTTCTTTTATTTCTCATATTCTCTTCACTTATCAACTGATTTGAATCGTTTTTTTTTTTTTTTTTAATCTTGATAATTTCTTGCAAAAAAAATTTTAAAAACTAAAAAAATCTTCTGAATTTAAAAGCAATAGCGAAAGGAAAAATAATTCTAGTTGTGTCTGTTATGAGAATGTGACTGTACTTTGTGAAGGGATTTATTTGTACTTTAAATCTGTCAAGGCTCAAAGTCTCTTGCTGGCTTGATGTGTTAGTTTGGAGAGAGAGGTGGCTGCTTAGTTTTTGCCTCGTCACTTGACTAAGGTTCAATAGTCTGATGCCAATACCCCTCTTGTTGCTTTAGTGTGACGTTAATAAACTAAACTAAACTCAGTGGCCTACAATGCCCATCTCAGTATGCGTGACCATTGGGCGCTGAGGTACATGTGCAGGTGGTCAGTCTGAATCGAAACCCCCAGTGTTTAGTCCCCAAACAAGCTTGGTACTCATTTATCGACCCAGTGAAGGGATGAAAAACTGAGTCGACCTTGCCCAGCATGAAAATAGAACCCCGGGATCTGTGGTGTGGAAGCGCGATACGCTACCACTGGGCCTCCGATGTTAATAAACAGTCTATTAAAGATGCACTGTCCTAAACTGGACAAACGTCTGGAAAGTTGTGTCTTAGAAATTTCTTTTTAAAATCGGAGAAGAAAACGTGAACACTTTGCTTAAATTCACAGTTGAACTTAATTAATTTTAAGTAGCAATGAAACAACGAGATTTTTGATCTAAAAATATTTGTTTCTGAAAATGAGATAATTTAACATATATATACACTGGTGTCCAAAAGTTAAGCATAAATCGTAAAATGCGAAAAACATGGTGTAAATATTCGTAAAATTATTCCAAATTTCTTGCGGTTATTAATTGGGTGAAGAAGAAACATTGGGTTTATGCAAAACTTTTCAGTCGACTACGTCCTGCGCGAAACACCGGCGCATGTCGGAACGCGGAGAAACCGATTCACGCAGCATAGGCAGTTCAGACAAGTTTCGTGCAACTGCTGTGCGAAGGAACGTTGTTTACCATCAAACAAGGTGAATGATGGCACAAAGACGCCAATTGGACATGTTTACGAAAGGAAGAATCGTTGGAATCCTCACGATCACAAACCGAAGTGTCTCGAATTCTGAATGTGGACCAGTCTGTGATCTCAAGATTGTGGCAGAGGTTTCAAAGAACGGGAGATGTTACCCGACAACCAGTATCAGGTCGACCAAGAGTCACAACCCTTCGCCAAGACCGATATCTGGTAATAAGTGCGTGACGTCAGAGGGGCAGTACTGCCAGAGCACTGGGTTCGGCTCTCACAGTCGCCACAGGAATACGAATTTCAAGACAAACTGTTTACAGGAGACTCGATCATGCTGACCTGTATGCCAGAAGACCAGCAGTTTGCATTCCCCTCACATCTGCGCATAAACACGCTCGTTTGAAACATCAACATGGGAGAGTGGATCAATGTGATGTTCAGTGATGAGTTCCGGTTTAGTCTGAGTAGTGATTCTCGGTGGGTAACGATATGGAGAGAACGTGGAACACGTTTTGAACCAAGAAACATAACGGAAAGACATATTTTCCATCAAGGGAAATTATGGTATAGGCAGGCATCATGGTGGACGGCCGCACAGGCCTCCATTTCTTTGACACGGGATCTGTGACTGCTCAAAGATACAGAGACAAAGTTCTTGAGCCTTATGTTCGAGGTGCTGTCGGTCCTGACTTCATATTCATGGATGATAATGTGCCATGTCACCGAGCGGTGCTGATTGATGACTTCCTTGAAACGGAAAACATCCAGCACATTTCGTGGCCTGCGAACTCCCCTAATTTAAATCCTATCGAGCATGTATGAGATATGCTCGGGAGACAAATTGCAGCCCTTTCGCACCCACCAAGCTCCGTTACAGAACTGAAGAGAGCTCTCCAAGAAGCTTGGAACCGTTTGAGCTCACAACTCATTCATCATCTCATACAGGGCCGGACCGTGACCTTTGGGGGCCCTGGGCTAACGATATCTGGAAACCCCCTAAATGATTAAAAATTTTGCCTTTTTCCTAAAAAATTATTGTTCGGAAAAATTTAAAACATACGAAACTTAAAGTTTTTTTCAGCAAACAATTTAAATACGTTCGTTATAAGCAATAACATAATTTACAAAAAAAAAAACTTTTCTACACTTTTATGTTAAATTTTCTTTTATTTACTCGTCACATTTTAAGTCTTTGGTGAGATCAATATTAATAGAAAGAAGTGATTAATAATTAAGCTTAGTATTTGTCATTGTTGTAATATGTTTTCTATGTAAAGCATTTTAGAGAACGCACGCTCCGCTTCACAGCTAGTAATACGGATCGTTAGAAAAATCTTTAAAATGGTATACAAATTTGGGAAACCTAAACTAGTTTCTTTTCAAAAATTAAATTGAATATATCACTACAAGCATAGGACTCTAGCTCAGTGTTTTAAATAAGTTTTTAATTGAACACCTCCATTTACTAAATGTTGGTTTACATCAGTGATTCCCAAAGTGGTCTATATAGACCCTTAGGGGTCTATGACGACCTCCAAGGGATCTACGTCAGCCCAAAATTAATTTGGGGGTCCATGAGGTGTAAGTGGGGTTCTATATGATAATGGCTCTCATTCGACTGGATTGTGACTTAAAATTAAAGAAAATTTATAATTAAGTGTAAACCAAATTTTACCTATTTAACAGATTTATTTCCTAAATTTAATGAGGTTAATTTGCATTTACAAAGTGACAGCATATATATAAACTTTATTAAAACAAGAGCAATTTTAGCTTTTCTTTCCTGATTTAAGCTAAAGAAGTATAATACTGGAGGTCCCAAATTTCCTAAATTTGTCACAGACAATCTGTCACAACGTTTTAACCTAATTCTTTAGCCTTCACAACGTTTAACATTTAAATGCCTTTTGTTCAGATTTTGAAACCAGGTTTGAGAATGCTTTGACTATGGCAATACCACAATAGGCAATGAATTCATATGGTTATATTGAAAAAAATGTCACATTACAATAGGAACTAATAAGCACTGATGAAAATCTTAAAGTTTAGAAACGGATGCGAGCAATTTTGGTTTTAAAAAGTCAAACCTGTTATTTGTCCTGACTTATGGAATATCATGAGGAAGTTTTTCATTGATTTTCCTAGAGTCAAGGAGTTTCAGCGCGGTTGCCAATCTCGGAAAAAAAAAACTGGACACTACTAACAGAGGAGATTTAAAATTAAACCAGAAAAGATTGATCCCAAATGTTAAAAATTTGATATTGTAGTGCTAGAGATTCATCCCTCCCATTAAAATAATTTGTTTAGTTAGTTTATCTAACAGTTTTATTAATTAATTAATTTTAATTTAATTAATTAAATTTCAATATTAATTAAACAGGCGTCTACCCCAAACCGAAAAACATGGCAAGGGGTCTACGACACAAAAAAATTTGCGAGCCTCTGGTCTACATCATCTAAATAGTAATCAGTAATAGCGCTCACGCTCTCCAGGTCGACGTTTTCCTTACCTTGATCTTGCAAATCCATCAAAAATTTTAATTTCTTACTATATTCTGCATATATATACTTGACTTCTATTTAAATCAAGGATTACCTTATCTAACGCTACAATAGTAGCGTCTCTTTTAAATTTTTCTGTCCCACACACAGCTTTTTCTGTGAATTTATCAGCACATTTTGAAATAACCCGTCTCTAGTTCAAATCGCTATATTCTGTTTCTACATTAGGACTTAATTTTTTGGCTGCGTCTTGATACTCCTTTTATTTTTGATCTGATTCACATGTTGTACATTGCTTATAAACATATTTAATGACATAATGAACTTATTCCCTTCACAGATGTCCGAACCCCAAGAATCTATTTTTTGTTAACCGAATTAAATCTTTCTAAAATTTTTCCCCAAAATATAATTAAAATGGCAGTCTCGAGTTTTGTTAATTTATTAAATAAATTTGCTGCCTCTTTTTGAAAATCAATTTTCTCATTTTCATTGTCACTAAATGTCTTAAGAATATTCATGATATTACAATTTTTATCTCTTGAGGCTTCAAAAGGATCGTAGGGACAAGACCATCTGGTCTGACTTAATCTTTTTAAGGGTAAATTTCAGTTTAAGTTCATGATTTAGAAGTTTCTACCTATAGGTTGAAGTAGAAAAGCAAACATATATTTGTTGCACTAAACCAAAAAAAGTTCACGATTTCAGTTGCAACCTTGACTGATTCTGCACAACTATATCAAGAGAATGTGCAGCACACGGCACATAATTAGCGAATTTATTATTTTTCTTTTAGAAGAGCTTGCACACCAGTATATGGATCGGACATATTGGCAGCGTTGTCATATGACTGTCCC